GTGAGAGTGCTCCACATTTAGAATGGACGCGCGCTGATGGAGAAGTGAAGGTGTTTCTGGTGCAACCAAGTGTTGTGAAATGGTTTGGCAGTGGAGGTTTGGTAAGTGGTGTAAGGTTTCTCCACATCTCATAAGGCCTTTAAGGGAAGAAGCTAGAGGAAGGAGTGTTAAATAAGCACAAGATAGGGTTGAAACTCTGAAGATAAGCCTAGAGTAAACTCAAACACATGTCTTTAAATCATTACAAAGTTGGATTTACAAAGGTAGGAGATGCCTCTCTTTTATAGGGGAAGAGAGACTCTAAATCTTGCTTTAGCAAACTTCTACAATATACAAAGGAAGTGTGCTTGAGGAACGCTTCAGAGCTTGGGCTGCAAGTCTCACAGAAAACACATTAAAAACGTGTTTAAAATGCGGAATCTGGTGCGTTTTGGCGGGGCGCGAGTAGGCAGGTGGCTGGGCGCGATTTCCAATCCAGAAGCTAAATGTACATCATTTCCAGGGAAGCTATTAGATTCAATCCGGAAAACCCCACCCTTTCATCCCTTCTTTGATTCATTTGCTCCTTTGGCTCTCCAAGCCTTCTTGGTTGGTTCATGGTCTTCAATCTTTATTTAAGGCCTACAAAACAATGCAAAATTATTTAGCAAAGTAAATCCATCTAAGACTTAGATAAGGAAAGATACTTAGAAATCCTTATTCTACTTCCCTTGCTTAGTCTTAGTTTAAGTTGTTTGCTCTTTGGATGGAAAGTCCTAAAGAGTTGTCATCATTCCCTCCCTCTTTAGAAAACGATTTGTCCTCAATCGGGAAAGAAAGAAAGAAGCACAACTTTGGTTTTTTTTGTTTTCCACCTGATAAAAAATATCTACACAAAGATAGCAAAAATTAGGATGAATTTAAAAGGATGTATGCAAAGATAAGAAGAAAAAATGAAGGCCTTTGAACAAAATTTTTATTAGAAGTTGTCTTGGAAAAATGGAGAAGTCCATATTCACAAGTTATTTGATTTATCTTGAGTTAATTGTTTCCACAAGGATAACATTAAACTCAAAATTTGAATGACCATGTTTTGAACAATGATTGCACAGAATATGGAATGACAATTGATTTAAAAGAAAAATAATAGTTGAAAAAGTGCACAATGACTGGGAAAAAAGTAAAGAATGAGAAACCTTCCCTTTTAGGTTCCATGGTTATGGTAAGAGTAGATTCCTAGTACAATTGCTCCCGCTACTCTTCTTCTCTCTTTGGCTTGTCTTGCACTTTCGCATCTGAGCGTGGTTAGGTCCCTCTCTTCGTCTTTTTCTTTTTTCTTCTGCTTTTCTTCGCTTTTTTCGTCGCTTCGTGTTCCGGTTTCTTCTGCTCTTTCTCTCTTCTTCTTCTCTTCTTTCTTTCGTCTCTTTTCTCTTTCTTGCTTCTTCTTCTCTCTTTTTTTTTTTGTTTTTTCTTTTGCTCTCTCTTCTCCTTCTTTCTCTTTCTTTCTTCATCTTCTCTTTTCCTCAACCTCTTTTGTGAGTCTCTTAACCTTCAACTCTATCTTCTTAGCTTTTAGCTCTTAGGCTAATTTCAAATTCTAGTTCTCTAATAAGGAAATCATTGTCATTTAAACTTTCAAGAAATGTTTTTCCATCTTCAATGTAATCTCTCAGTTATTGTAGGTTTCTCTAAAGAGTGAAGGCACAAACTTTTTTCTGTTCTCATGCAAGATTTTAATTCATGACCAATCACGAATGGGAGACTTTCTACCTACTAACATGATATTGTCTTTCATCATCCCACCACTCTCTTGCATGCATTTCAAATCTAGATGTGTAGAAACTAAGGACATAAGATTCACTATTGCTAGAATGGAAATAGGATCCAGTAAACAAATTAAGGCAACATTCCCACTAGGCTGAATGACATTACCAACTGGAAATCCTTGTTTACTTAGCGGAGAATGATTCACGGGCCATTTACCTCCACATTTGTCTGCTGGTTCGTATACAGTCTTCATGTTTATGGCAATCGTTTCACGAGTCCAGTGCCGAGAGCTTAAAGAATTGCTCTAGTATGCTGCTAGACTTAGGGTGGAAGGAACACCAATTGGTAGGAATTAATTGCTCTAAAGAAGAGAAAAAGAATTGGAAACCATTAATATGGAAGAGAGACAAAAAGCTGAATTGGAGAACAAAGCTGTGAATACAGAGGAGAGAAGAGAAAAAGTATGCACACATCGCATGGAGTTAACACCGTTACTGTAAACTTAACGGATAGGACCTTATTATACACTTTTCATAACATAGGGACCCAATGTTTTATTTTTAAAACCAGCGGACTAAAGAAATTCACCTCTTAACATGGGGACGAAGTAAGCATTTAAGCCTCATTCCAAAGTCATTTGAGTTTTCAGACCTTTGTTGTAATATCAATTATTTCTTGTGTTAATCGATTAACACGATCGATTAGAATTAGTTATAATCGATTATTCCAGTACATTTTTACTCTTTTTACAATTTCACACATGAATGATACATGGAAATAAAACTACTAAATACTTAAGTCATGTATTATATTTTTACACTTATTACAAAAGTTTTTCAATACAATACAAGTCTTCAATTAACTTCTTTCATTTGAATGCTTGTAACTTGATTTGGGCATCATCAAAACATCTTCTTCAATTCATTATTTTTCTAAACATTATTCTAGTATCTAAGGGAATCAATGAAGCTTGAAGAATTTGATGATGTTTATAATCATGTCCTTTCTTAGTTTAGCTTTTGTAGCTTGTGCTAGAAGTTATTTAATATGTTAAAAAGAGTGTTTCGCAGGTTAAATGTCTTATATACATAGATATGTGATTAACGTATCAAATTAGCTTAAAATAATAATAAATTAGTTTATTTCACTATGTTAAGTGAAATCAACCAATTGATTGTTATTTTTAATCGACATAATACGTCAGTTAGCATAGGATATATATTTAAAACTGTTTTTCTATTTGAAAAGTAATCCATCTGTAAACGCTTTACAAAAAAATCAAACACTTTCAAGAAAAGTCTGAGGGGTTGAATATTATGTGTACTGGTTCAAGGAGTTGTGGAGCTATGATTGTCTCCATCTTGGATCTTAGATAAAGATCTATTAATTAGCTAGGGAGAGTTAATCCTCCAGGCTTTGTTAATCAGGTTTGTTGTTGTCTTCGTGTATTTGGTGTGATCGTGTCTGCAAAAGGGCCTGGTTGTAGGTGATGCGTCTTGCGTAGAAGGGTTTGTCCAAGGGGGGTATGTAAAGAACTTTGGTAATTTCTTGATGGTTGTAGCCAAGCTCAAGCTGGTTGGCTAAACTAGATTTAAGCCTTATGAGTGAAAAAGTGATAAAATTTCTTGCAGTGTATTCTAGTTTTATCAATTTGTAATTTCGTCATCGTGATTAAGAAATTAAAAGGTGAATCAACGTGACAAACTTAAATGTTATTGAATGAATAATCAAGAAGCTATAATCTTGATCAATCTGGATACAAAGAAATTGGATAATGTTGACACAACTGGTCACGAAAAAATAAGTAATAACTCAAATGTAATTCTAAACTATTGTTGGTTGGATTCAATCGTAGGTAGAAAACGTGTTGTTTGTGAGTACAACAGTGCTTGGAATTCAATTGTTAATCAATAGTTAAACAAAAGTTTTCATAACGGTAATGACTTGATGAATGGTTCATTGAATATTAAACACCTGTTTTTGAATTCAATTTCACTCATTGTTCCTTTGAAGATAGGATGGATTTAGGGCCTGATGGTCCCTCTACAACGGGACAACAAAAATTAAAATTGAGAAACCCTAGCTCATCACCAAAACACCTCAAATTTCTTATGTATAACTCATTCTTTATATGTGACCTTCCACATTGTTATTATGTACAATCATTATGTGACCTTCCACATCAAAAACACTTTAATAAATCAGAGTTGTGAATGAATATTCCACTTATAAGAAAGTTTATAGGTTATGATACAACTTCTTAAAGTGCCCTTAATATCACTTTTATTGCTTTAGTGATCCTTTCGCCCTTATGTATCACTTTTATTGCTTTAGTGGTCATTTCCCCCTTATGTCTACTTTCTTTCACTTGCTTCATAAATATAACATTTATTGATCAAAGTAAGAAAATAAATGAGTTTAAAGACATTCACTATAGTGAAAACTTTAGTTATTAGATTTTTTTTCAATTGTGCCACAAGTCTTTAGTGATCTCTCCATGTCAAAAATGTGACCAATACTTCTAATTAAAATCAAGAAATTCATAAAACAAAACAACCAAGACAAATTTAAAAACAAATTCAACTTAAATTTTGAAATCCAAAAGAACGTGTAATTAAATTTCAAAATTCAAAAGATAAATTAATCAAATTTAAATTCAATGACTAAATCAAAATTCAAAATTCGATGAATTTTCTAAATTAGATTTTAAAATTCGATAAGTTTCTAAATTTATTGGATTTATTAATAAAATTTTAAAATTCGTTACATTACCTTTCTAATATTATATATATATAAAGTTTGAGGTGTAAGAAGAAAGTCAATTGTTACAAACCAATGGCCCATAATTCTCCTCACAACCAAGACCGAGAGGAGACCTTTTTCTTCTTACTCCCATTACTAACTTCATCCATACAAACACAATTGAAAGGTTTCTAGAATAGATAATCTAAGTTACTTTGACAAAAGCTCAAATGGTTTTTTAAAAATATAGTAGGATATAAGTAAAAATTATGGGAAGGAAAAGTGTAAGTGGAAAACATGCAACCATATCTTTCTTCCTACAACCCATAAATTTTTGTCCATTTTGCCCTTTGTTCATTATACAATCTGAAAGTCAATTTTTTTCTCTTTAAAAAAATTTGGATTGCACAATCTAGAAATGAAAAATGAATTTCAAATAGTGGAATCCAAAAAGCCAAATGACATTCAGATTATGTAATTAAAAATCAAGCTTTTGAGAAAAAAAAATTCTTTGGTCTTCTGGATCCAGAAGTTACTTTTGACTTTTGAATTGTATACTTAAAAACTATTTTTCTAATAAGAAATGATTTTCAAATTCTACAATTCAGAGACAATGGAAAATAAATCTTATGGGGTTGCAGGAAGAAAGTCATGGAGATTCAGGAAAGAAACTGTTGCAAATCGGCTTGAAGACTTCTTGAACCTGAGCTCCATCCAGTTTTGTTTACTCTTCGTTGCTCACTTTTTGTCCATACTTCCATGAAGACTGTTGAGCTTTTTGTTGTTCAACCCAATTGCCAGTAGCCAACACAAACAAAAGAAAAAAGCCTTTTAAATAAAACTTGACTAGTTGTTATCCTTTCCCAATCACTAGCTATTAGCAATTATCACTTATTGATTTAAACTTTGAAAAAAATGTACTACTACAATGTTTCTCCGAGAATTGTGCCTTATGGCCAGTAAACAATTACTGAAACTACTGGCAGTATCCAAAGTTTGCTTCCAACCCAAGGAATGCAATGCCCTGTCTAAACCAATTATAAAATTACCTTTTTATGGGTGCAGGACAATCAAATTTCAAATGTTGGAACTTCAGATTCAAAACCATGAGTAACTTGGTATAACAGCCGAGGTCCTATACTTCTATAGGGATCGCTTTCTCTTTTCAACTTCAAATAAGCAATACATCTCTCTACCTCGGATTTCACTTGTAAATAAAACTCATGAGCTTTCTCCTTATCTCTGAGTTCTTGTTTCCTCCCTGTCAAATAATATCTCATTAATTAAAGAAGGTAAAAAGCATGTCATGGACATTCCGAGATGTAAATATGAACTAGGCCTACCTTTCGTTTCAAATGGTTTTCCAAAATAATAGTAGAACCGCCCTGGAACTTTAGGCAAAATCAACGGCATATGCACTTGCTGATTTGCCACCTCACCACCAACATCACCCCTAGATTTCCAATTTGTAAGGGATATATTAATATAATGACGTATGTGTATACATATACAGCAGATGGAAAGGACAACGAGGATGTATGTATCAGTGTTTAACATGGTAAAACACACAACAAACAAGATACCTCAATTGCGTAACCTCACTTGTGAGACTTTCTATTTCAGTCCTAAAGTACGGAATCTTCACCAAGTCATCATAATCAAATACTACCTGTAAAGGCCAATGTGACATGATGTGTTATGGTAATTCCAGGTCCAAGGCATATCCACATTCATGCATAAGAATAATAGTGTTATGTTACTTTAGTCCGTAGCTAACCTTTAGCGAAGTGGTATTAACATGAGATGTATATGCTAATAACTACTTGCAAACTTAAAATTCATTAGCGATATGGTAAGACTTGGATGACAGTGAAAAGAACACATTTCACTCAGAGTGAACCAAGATTAAATCCTAAATTTTACAGAGAGAAGTTTGTAGATATGAGAAGTTCAGTAGAATTTTGTTTTCCTGAAAAACAGTAGATCACGATTTCACTGATGCAAGCAGTTTTAAGCACTTCGTAAAGGAAAAGGATTGGTTCAGAAAAAGACCAACACTTACTTGGCCAAGGTCATCTTCTCCAACTGCTCCAAATGGTACAATTTTGGCTCCAAATCTTGCCGCCATCCTGACAAACTCAGATTGTTCAGGCCAGAATAACTTGTATTCTTCACCCTGAGAATTATTACAATGCTGGAGACTTTAAACAAGTCGGTATATTTCTAAGCATTAACACAGATAAAGCGAGCCTAAAATATTGATGGGTCCTTTGAAGTGGACTTCACCAAAAAGAGACAATAACAAGGAGACAGGAGCTTACTATATAAAGAATTGATACTACTTTTAACCTAAAACCTTAAGACAATAAGTTTATGGGTCATCTTCCTTTTATATATATATATATATATATATATATATATATATATATTGATGGGTCCTTTGAAGTGGACTTACCAAAAAGAGACAATAACAATGAGACATGAGCTTATTATATAAAGAATTGATACTATTTTTAACCTAAAACATTAAAACAATAAATTTATGGGCCATCTTCCTTTTATATATATATATATATATATATATATAAATGAGACTTATATTCACACTTAGATTCCTAACAAATATATCCAAACCAAAATATATCACATTTTCACCCCTTTAGCAGCTTCCTGGCAGGCCTCTTGAAAAAGAGATTATTTCTCACATAAAATTGTTTCCAAATGGGAACAGACATGAGAATGATAAAATTCGCATATCCTTTCATTTTTAATGCCTTATTTGTTTGAACCTTGAAAGATAGCCCAACTTCTTATACTTCAACACTGTTCAACCTCAGAACAACGCACTTGTCATACAACATTGGGAAAATGAATGCCAAGCATTTGAATAAAAACTCTTAGAAGAGTACTATATATCACCTCACAGTAAAACTAGTGGAGTAATTTTATGATGATATAGGGAAAGTAAGACTTGGAAGTATGTGTTTTTGCTTACGTGGAAATAACCTGGCGTATATGGAACACAAATACTTTTCCAGCATGTCAACAATCCACTAGACTTCATTCAATTTCCCTTTTCTCTTTTTTTACTTAAATGAATATAGTGACATCTGATAATTCGTGCAAGTTTCATATGCACCTTTAAAAATATATGGCCTAGCATTTTGCATTCATGTCCCAAATGGTATAAACAAGTTAAAGACCTTAGAAGTAGTCAAACGAGTAAATCCTAGTTCCATGTGAAAGATAAAAGGCTTTACCTTCCTATGAAGCGCCTCGCGCATCCCTCCAGGATATAATAGCATATGGGCTTTAGAAGAAAAAAGCTTGAAGAAGTTAGCTGGTGCTACAGGGACAGCACCCATAATTCTGAAGTTGTCATAAGAAGATATCTCTGGCATTTTTCCAGTATTAGATCTCATAAACATCATGGGATGAGCTATCCCACGTATAAGTATATTTCTTTCCAAAAAAATTCGAGAAACCAGGGGAATTTTTTCTAATCCGAGGAGCATGTGGTACCCAACAAACAAAACAGGCCCCTCTAAGGGAATTCCAGCAAGGCCTTTTACAATCGTCCCGTCCTCCAAGGTTGAGAGCATTACAGCACTTGCGACAAGGTTAAACAAACTGGAAACATTAAAAGTGAAACGTGTCAAGGTTATAACTAGTTTGGTTACACTACAATCAGACAATCAAACCGAGAAAAGCTAAATTGCCAGATAGATACACATATATAGTTATTGATATCTACTTATCTAGCAACGGATCACGGCTGATCTCTCCTTTCAATCTACTATCTTTACAATATATACTACCAAGTCTCTTGTGGTTCTTAATTGATGGTTTGTATGCTCAAATTAATCCTCTTGTTTTTACCTGTTCGATTCTATTATTTTTCTGGCTTCATCAGGTGTTGGCGGTATAAAATCTGATGCATAGTCATGATGCTTGCCACGGCGGTAGTATGAAGTGCCCTTGATTATCGTTACCAGGTCAACGCTACCTTCCTGATAGCAGTGGTGGACACAGTTAAATATTAGGGTTTAATATCGTTTTTCTCCCACCAGATGTAAAGAATCCTGATGCATGCCTGAATGCAAAGACAAGCACACAGGCTTGAAGAAATGTATAAACGGAGAAATCCATACCAGGAATAGGAAATGGCCACTGTCATCAAATTTACGAAGCTCGCATTTAGATTTAGGCAGTAAATTGAGTAATCTTTCCCCTTCCTGATGACTAGGTAGTAACTGATCATTTCCACTAGAAGGGCAAATCACAAAGTAAGTTTCACTTCATACACTTGAAAATATGCTAGGTGCATCAGATATTCAGTGAGATTAATTATTCAATTCAGTCAGGAAATTCAGTGAGATTAATTATTAAAATTCAATTCACTTCATACAGTTACCATCCGCTCAGGAAATTCATTATTCAATTCAACAAGAACACAAATTAGATAGAAAGAATTGCTATTAGTAATGGGAAATCCCACTAGGTTCATGATAATTTAATGTTCATAATAATTTAATTTTGTTTTCAGATAAAAACATTTATTTTGACCATTTAAGCTTTTATCTTTCATTTGTTCTCTAAGTTTACCCATAGCAACTGATCAGGATCTGGTTTATAGATTATGAGATTCTTCCCTTTACAGATTCCCTACATTGAGTCTAACTGTGTGATGTAATTCACCTCCAGTGGGATTTGAAAAGTTAATGAAACACTTTTTTTAACCAAATTAATGAAACACTTATTAGTCCATGTTTTCACAGTCAAAGTATGCACAATGGCAAAGAGAATGAACCTGCAAAGAATCAAAGTCTGAGCCTTGATAGCATAAAGGCGTGATTGGGCGTAAGCAGAAGCTGACTTAAGCATCTGTAGTTTCCACTCAAGTGTTTCTTTTGGTAATATGTCAGCAAGAACCTGAGAATTAATCAATAAAAGATTTTCAATATTAAAGGTAAATGATGAGAAAGCTCAAAAACCAACCTTAACGGCAAGAAGCTAAAGTAAAGAAAATTCAGTCATGTCAATCCACGCCCTTCAAAAGTCCAGCATATTCCACTTTTAAGAAGTTTTTTTGCAAGAAAGAAACAAAATAAGCTATCCAATTTTCATTTCATATTTCTTCTAGAATATGCCTCATGCATTGCCAATTTGTCCTTTTTTTCTCATAGTGCTTACTTATTCAAAGCATAAACAAAAAGCACCAAAAATAAAACTCTATTTTTGAACGAAACCAAATGAACCTTACAGGCAAAGATAATGAGAAAGTAGTTAAATCCTTCACTAGCTCTTTAGTCGTATTTTGTAGAGGAAGCCCTTGGACCACATTATCCAACATCCTCCTCAGAGATTCACCTAATGTTACCAGAAATGTTGATGACATAAATGGAAAATGGCATCACTTTCTTTGGTAAAAGAAAGGTAGTATATCCTTGATCCATGAATTATAATAGATATTTTCAGTATGTAAGGATCAATAACTAGAAAACTTACCTTATGAAATTGATGCAAGTACCTGATGATTTAATATTTTAATTATCTAATGAACTATGATTCAGGAAAATTCAGGGAATATAAGCATAAGCAACAAAAATGAGAAAATCCCGTTTTACTAGGCACCAATTAAATATCAAATCATGAAAGGGGTAGAAGGGGGGAAATGACAAAGATTCAAAGACTTGAAACATTTATATGGTCAAAGACGAAAATGTAATAGATCCACCGAGTCGGACATAAAACAAGGGAGCACATATGCTACAAAAGATACATGGAAAGAATACGAAATTATACGTATATGACACGAAACGCATGGATATTTCTCATTGAAAAATTCGAGGATAAAAACATTGAATGGAATTATGTTTACGATTTGAACCATTGAAGAAAGCAGAGACCTATAACTGACTAAGCAAAAATTACTCACTGCTGAGACTTAGATAACTGCCTGATAATATAAACAACCTACAAATGGAATCTTTCATAGGTTCCCAGCATCAGGTTTTGTTTCAAGAGTAGTTTCTTTTTCTTATAGCATTTATTATCTTATATATAGTGCATTGTCTTACATGTAGTCCATGTTTAGGGTAGCTTTTATCAGAGGGAAAAAAATAGCGTATTTCTCAAAAGTTTTCTTAGAAGCTGCACAAAATAAGATTTATTTTCTTAAAATAAGGATACACAGATTTTGTTGGGTTGCGGAACGACGCAAGTATTTCAAGACATTAATCATTGAAAAATAGTGCATAAAGAAAGAAAAAAAGCACAGCCTTCATAACAAGATAGACAAACCTGCCATCGTTCTGAGAATGTTAGGCAGGCCAGGGGAGAGTGGATCAGGTAAAGCTTCCAATAATGGTGTTAGAAGTTGCAAGTTTGACCTGCTGAATGAAGTAGCTGCCAAATTGGGTGGGGAAGGTGAGATCAAGTTTTGTCCATCTTTAGTACTTATACAACTTTGAATTAGTAGTTCATAGCGGCTACTAGAGATTCTCTAAAGTTAAAATCTTTCTTGAACTCATGTTTATGGTGCTGAAAAATAAAATCCAAGAGAATAAACCTTATCTACGTTAATTAAAGCTACCTGGGTTTGCCAAAATTAGTACAAGATCAATATCAGGATTAAGAGCTGCAACAGCCAGCGCAACGCATGCTCCTAAAGATTCTCCAACAAGATATATGGGTCTGTTAGGTGACTGTTGATATTCTGACTTAACTGTTCTCTCGACTATTTTCACAATGTCTGCAAGAGGGAAGTATACATAACATAAATTATAATACATCATTATTTCTAAAAACGTAAGAAGAAACATATTTTCAACACAACCAACATACTCTCAAGCATCTTCCGAAAGTACGACAGAAACAGCAGAAAAAACTTATGGTTAGAGCCAGAGAGTTCAATTTGAGCACGGAATAGTATAATGAGGTACAGAGGAAAAAAGTGTACCTGTAAATGATGTTCGATCCGCGACCGGAATATGCAAGCACCATATATCAAAAATCCTTCGTTGAAGAAAAAGAAACGAAAAGAGTATTTCTCACATATCAATTAATAACCTTTTCCTTCAAATTCATCTTATCACTTAAAAAGTGCATTCCTAAAATAACAATTTGGTGTGTGCAATTAGGCCTTAACATTAAATGAACACAAACCTTCCCAGCTTCTGATGATGTGAAATAAGTCCAAGTCCCACCCCATCAATCCCTGAAAAAATTGGAATGCTTTACACAAGTTTATGAGTAACCTTGTATGAAATCATGACATGAACGCATGGACATTATAATTTAAAAATATAGACATAAAGTGTGCATAATAGTATATCTCATTATATATATATATATATATATATATATATA